CCAGGAAAGCCCCAAGCAGTATTCATTGTGGAGCCTTGTGTTTAAGCCTATTGTACTAATGTGACTTCACACTATTCCCTAGCAAGAGACTCACAGGGCCTTAATATCAGATTTCTCTCCTGCTTCTGTCTTAAAAAAAAGAGTCTTATATAAGTCAGAAACCAGCAGGCAGGCAAATTCCTTTCTCCCACAGGTGGAAATGGGTATCAATGTCTAAAATAAAAGCTGACTGTGAAAGCCATTTTTGATAATCTAACAGCCCAATTTCTAATTCCAGAAAAGTAATTTCTATGAGGCCAATGCTTCAGCAGAGCTTAGGGCATGTCTGAAAATGGAGGAGCTAAATCAAGATTCTTGCCTTCAATATATTTCATGAACTGGTTTAATAAATCAGAATACATCAAGTACTGAGCACAGACATGTATATAAATTCCTTTGTGGATGTGCAAGCAATAGGATATTTATAGGCTTTTTTTTTTTACAACTGTTTAGCAATAATAAATGTGCTTTATTGGCTGCCACATCGAAAGTAGTGTGTGAGAAAGAATTGCAAGCTAAGTTTTGATCTTGGATATAAATTTTTGTTTTGAGCCATGTATTCAGAAGCATAAATGCTTAATTTTAGTAGGCATATGGCTGTCTAAAATGATTTTTCCTCCACGTATAGTACTCCAACTGGCAACCTAGATAGTCTAATTAAGAGAAAGAGAGATCAGAGAAGTCTTACGTTGTTCCAGCTGTCCTATGATACACATCAGAAGGACATTCATCGAGTTAAACAAGAATGGCAGTTTTCAGGTTTATGGGATCTATTTTGTTTTTTATTAAACTCTGGAGATACACCAACTGGAGTCTGGGGCAAGAATAACTGAATAGAGCTTATAGTCCTGCACACAAATATCCTTTCCAAGTGTGATCCAATTTTCACTATTTCATCAGCATAATTTAAAATGAGGCATTATATTTAAAATCAGGTGCTTGCAAATCTACTGCAAATTACCTAAAATTAGATCCTTTTTGTTGGTGTATGGTTGAAACATGCAAAAAAAAAAAAGACTGTCATTATCATTATTTATTGATAAAGAAAATTCCTCTTGCATTATTCTCATTGAGATTTCCTTAGGTCTACCAAGTCTGGGCTGCAAAGCTCCAGACAACTACTAGATGGCAGTAACACTAATTCTTTTCTGTCGTTTACTGGCTGTCCAAATTTCTGCAGCCCAGTTAGTCTGCCTCATTTAAATTCACATTCTCTTCCTGACAAGCCTTCCAACAGAACTGATTACAACCCTTTGTCTCTTCTAAATACAAAGAAAGAGCTCCTGAGATCCAGGATGCTGTTAAAAGGCTTCATAGCAGCACTAAAGGCAGGGTTTGCTTTATGAGCACAATCCAGTAAAGGTTGGAAGTGAAAATATCTAGCACAGATTAATTAAGCAATTCTTTTTAAGATCGTATGCTCTTCCCAGGCCAATGTGCCACGAATGTAATGCTGAATAAAGAAAGGGATCCCACTGATCACTAGAGAGATCCAGAGCAGGTTGCTTTGCTGAGGCCGTTTTTCTCACATCCAAACTTAGGCTGTCTCTGGGGAGTTTTGAGAGATGTTCCTTTTTTCTTTTTTTCTTTTTTTGGCTTACGAGATAATGAGGCTCTGATGCGGCTCATATAAAGAATATGAGACGTTGTGGATTGTCCTGAGCTGGATAAAGGGGAGTGACTACACCTTCTCCCTATCTTATGCATGTATACTGCATGCATGTGTCTATTTATCTACCAACGGATAGGACTCAAACTCGGCATCAACGGAGCACAGGGATGGCCGAGCTGGGAAAAAGGCTTGCGGGAAACTCATCCATATTGCTTGATCCCACCGTTAAGAAAAATATGCCAAGCTGAGAAATACTGGGATGGGGACGTGAACACCACCCCCACCACTCTGCAAACTGCATGACAGGCTATGAACTTTCCCCCCCCGACCATACCTTTTTCAGAGACCTTGATGCCCCCCCCATCAGCAAAATGACCTTGTGCTTCAACGCGCCGCCTCCGCCCCCCCCCCGCTCTCCTTCTCCACTCTCACCCTTTCCGCCCATCATTTTATCACCATCTCCGCTAAACGATGCCCCCACGCACCAGAGGAGAAGGCTGATCCTTGCTTTCGCTTCTCGCCCCTTCCCTGCCCTCTTCTTCACGCCTCCCCCGATTCGGATCTTACCCCCCCACTCTGGACCGTCTGAGTTCCAACTCCGGCTTCTGCTCCCGCCGCTACCGATGCCTGCAGGCCCTCGCCGCCGCCTGCTATGAAGAAGGAGTCCGGCTTAGTCCATTTAGGGGTACAGGTGAGAAAGGTGCCCCAATCCTCCCTAAGCACTACCATCAGCTACCTTGTCGGTCATATAAGCATTCCTGTGCAGTATTATAAGGAAATACTATTTTTCCGTGGCGATCCTTTTGTGCAAAGAATTGCTGGATTGAAGGAAGGAGAATCAAAGCAGCGATTCTCCCCCCACCAAGTTCGGAATGGTGGAGCTCAGGAAGCGCAAGGCTACTTGGGAAATGTAGTTTATAATCGGCTGGATGGTAAGCGAGCACGTGGCTTCTGAGGTCGCGTGAATTGGGGGTAGATCACTAGAGACGAATGGTCGATAAAAAGAACTGAAAACCGAGAGGGATTAACGGGATGAAAGGAGCAGGAGAACTGAATAAGATCAAATGCAGAAATAGACATCTACGTGAGAAGCGTTAAGATGAAGGAGCATTGGACCGGGGAGGATAAGAGAAGAAGAGGATTGATGGGATAATTTGGCAGGTTCATTTGAATCAGATAATGATGGGAACATATCCTTCTTTGAGGGCGTTAGGAAAATAGAAGATGCTTCTGAAGCTGTATAGAATGGTTTCTTTATCCTTTGAATAATCACAACTACTTGGGACCATCACTTTAGGGTTGAAGGAGTGGCATCATTTGGTCCAAATGTTTTCTTCAGGTAAATTCACATTTCACATGGAGGCATATGATGGGGAAGGAAAAATATAGCTTAATTGGAACCAAAAATGACTAGAAACTTGTATGCAGTGTCAAAGTTCGCTTTTTAATGTAGATTTATTCCAAAGCACACACAATAGCTTGATCTCTGCCATTTGGGAACCAGGAAATGCTTCCAAACAAAGTATCCAAACATGTTAGACTGTTCTGACATCCTTTGCTTTGATTTGGAGATGTATAGAAGATGGGTAGATAACTGTCAGATATATAATCCTGGATAAAAAGGTTGCTGATTCTGGTGACAACTATCTCAAGGTGGGTCGTCTTGATTGACAGGTGACAGTATTTCATGTTCCATTTGAATTCAAAAGGATTCACTGTTTAAAAAAATTCTATAATATACATTGTAATTTTGCAAAATTCCACTTCTCAACTGAGAGGCAAACCCAGTTTTCCTCCTGGCGTGCTGAACAAAAATTTTGGAAACTGTAGTTCAACATGTCTGGAGGACAGTAGGTTGCATATGATGGCAAAGATAAAAATGTTTATTTAATGTGATCTTCATTTGTTTTATCAATCAAAGGTTGATTATTCTGAGGTTTCTCCATGCTTCAGTTTCAAGATATTTTCTTACTGGGAATCGAAAGATAGCTTTAATATAGGATGACTGATTAGTCATATTTGGAAAGCACTGTAATGTATTTAAGCTGCAATAACCTAACACTTTTAATTTGGTCACTAAAACAATCTAGTTAACCCATTTTCTAGGCTATATACATTGGACTGAACTAGCCAAACAGACAAATCAAGACTAACACCCAGATTTAGCATTGTGTGCAACTGCAACTGCTTGGTCTTAATAATTAGCCTGAATGAATGGATTCTGTGGCCTCAATAAGTGTGTTCTGAGAATACAATCTTGTATTTTTCAAAGCAGGAAAATTAAAAATAGATTCTTATTCCTCTTCCCAAACCTGTTTGGGGATTTTTGAGGTACCTGGATGATAAATTCATCCCCAAGAAACACATGTTTTAAAAAAGACAATAATCAGAGAAAGACCCTGTTTATTTTCTTTCCCAGAACTGCCCCAGGGGAGGGAAAGACAGCACCAGGAGAAGGCAGTTAGGATTTTCTATATTAAAATAACATCTTCATAAAACATGCAGCTGGCCTGGACATGCATCCCACTTACTCCACTCCCTCCTTCCACAGTCCAGCTGAGGTTGAGATTCGAGTTAACAGAGTAACAATTCATCATTACTCCCTTTCCAAGCTGTCCCTGTGAGACCAGCACTGCAGAATGGGGAAAAAGCTGGAAAATTGACCTCTGACTTGTGGAATGGACTGTCTTCTGACTCTTGCTTCCCTAGCTTGGCATTACCCTCTTTTCCATTCTCTTTGGATATATTTTTGCCAGCAGTGTAGGCGTTCTTAGTTCCTAAGAGTATCTACAAGAAGGAGGTGAAGCTTTTCCTTTTTTTGGCTTTCCACCCTGAGGGAAGCAACTGTGGATCAAACTGTGCTGTCTTCTAAGCCCCTATGAAACCACAGAGGCAGGGACGCAAATATTGTGGGACCTTGGTCTTTGGACCTGAGAGATACTGTCACTCAGCAAGGCATAAGGGTTCATTGCATGGGGACAAGTAAAGCTGGAGGGCAAGGGCCATGGCTTGTACTGGCTACTGGGAAAGGCTTCAAAAGCAGGCCTATGCTCCCATAAAGGTATGAGGTGTAGACTGCGTTTGATGACAGCTGAAAATCATCTAGCTAATGATGCCTCTGATCCTCAGTCTTTATTTTCTATATACAATACATAACTTGATGTGGTTGATTGGTCCTGATGTCCAGTTGCCTGTCCATCAAACCAAGTAGTTCCTGACCAATAGGCAGGAATAGGGAAAGGGATAATACCACTGTGAAGCTCCCCCATGCTGCTATCCCACAGAACCCTCCCCTTTGAAGAGCAGAGTGCGTTGATCCAGCAGAGAAAGCATCAGGAAGCAAGAGCAATTATTCTCTCTGCTCAGCAGCTACTTCTTTCTTGCTCGGTTGCTCCTCTAGTGAACATGGAGTCTCCAAATGTTCAGCCAGTCTGGGAGCTTCAATGGTGACCTCGTGAGCCACACTCATGGAGGTACGAGGAGTAACAGGGAGGCGGCCACTGACATCTGTGGCCCGGAGACGTTGCATGAATGTAGTGACTCGAATGGCTTTCTGCAATAAGAAAAGCAATATCAAGAAATGAGTATCTGAACTGCTACCCTTTCTGGTTCTTCACCCAAGTACCAAATGATACCGGTTCTTGAATGAAGAACTGGTACAGATTAAGGCATCTGCAGCTTGCAACTGCTGTAAACTAAAGAAGTAAAATGTTGGGAAGTAGGAACATGGTTTCCTTTTCTCCTCTTTTTGTAACCTTACAACAGCAGCAATATATTTGCATCAATGCTTTCCTTAAAACACTGGATTCTAAAGGTTCATAGGAGAGAAGGAGGAAAAACATGATTGTATTTATATGTCCTATACACTTTGCATGACCTGAGGCCAGACTGATCGAAAGATTAAAATTCTTTCTCTAGTCTAGAGCCTGTCTGGAGGAATCTGTCCTTCTGGCCCATCACCACTGAAGACACTTTTTCCCTACCTTTTTCTTAAAATACTTCATTTTCTGATTACTTGACATTTTTCTCTTTGTTATAGATCATAGAGTTGGAAGGTCATCAAATCCAACCTGCAAGGATTCACTATCTCTTTTAGATTACTATCCAGCCTCTGTTTAAAAACCTCCAGTAAAGGGAAAGAAACCATTCCATAGGGTAACCTCTTCCACTGATTGACAGCTGTTACTGTGAAGAAGTTCTTCCTCATATCTAATTTGTATCTACCCCCTTGAAGTTACAAGTCCTTCTCTGGATTTGCTTCAATTTATCAGTGTTTTCTGTAAACTAGGGTATATAGTATTGATCTATTCCAATGACTCACCCTCCATTTGGCCTTGGCAAAATTTTTCTCAATCTGTGCACAGACCCCTTCTTTGAGGTTCTTTTCGGAAGCAATGTTTCCAGATATCCTGAGAACAAAGAAAGAACATAGAATTATGGCTTAGCACACACACACTGAGGGGTGAAGAATGATCTAAAACGGAAAATTTAAGCAGATTTTCAAAATCTATGAACAGTTCAGGAGATCTGTATCTAATTTTACAAATTGTCTCTTTATGTTAGGTAACTCATCTATCCTAAAGGAGCTCACATTTAGAAGAGGTATTCCTAAATATGTGGAATGTTTTTTTATGTAGAGCAATCTTAGCTTTTGTGCAGCTCCTTAGAGGACTGAATGCTCTTTATTCCTGTACCAAAATTCTTTAATCAGAGGTTTTATTTTCCATTCAGATGAATTTAGGAATTTAGCTATTAGGAAAGAGCTAAGAGCAAAAATAAATTATTTTAGCCAAATAGTAGAAATAAATGATCCCTAAAATGTGATAAACTAAGATTTTTTAATAGATGTGCACACTGAGAATTTAGATATATGCTTAGCAAATTGGTTTAGCATCAGAATTGGGATACTGATTTTCTGTTTATCATTAATTCAGGAATGGCTTTGGACCTCCCTATTTATGTGAAAAATGTGCCTATCATAACAGCAATTATACCAGACTCTATATGGTAACAGTTTGTAATGCTTTTTATTAAAGATGCAGTAAACATTTGCTAGAGTTGCTCACTTCCTAGGGCCAGCCTTAGGCGTTGACTGCTTTTCTTTGCATTCCTATCAACTGTAGTGGCAACAGGCCAATAAGAACATAAACATAAGCTTCAACAAATTAGGAACAAAAGTAGAAAACATAGTTTTATTTCACATGTTCCTCCTCCAAATTGTTCAGGGCATTGCTTGTGCTCCACCCATTTCTTTTATCATTGTAATAATTCTGCAAAATAGAATAATGCAGATATAATGACTAGCCTCAAATCATTCAATGACTTCATGGCAAACCACATCTTTGAATTTAGATCAGTGGTCTTTCGACTGCAATACTATTGGGAGATAGAAACTTGCAGGTTCTGAATATTGAGGGTGGGGATGGGGGGAGAACAGAAGGAATGAGTTGGGAAGTAAAATGGCCGTATCTTTAGAAATAGAATAGAATAAATCTTTAGGAATAAAATAACAGAACAGAACAGAATAGAATAGAACAACAGAGTTGGAAGGGACCTTGGAGGTTTTTTAGTCCAGCCCTCGGCTTAGGCAGGAAACCCTATACCATTTCAGACAAATGGTTGTCCAATCTCTTCTTCAAAATGTCCAGTGTTGGAGCGTTCATAGCTTCTGGAGGCAGGTTGTTCCACTGATTAATTGTTCTGTCAGGAAATTTCTCCTTAGTTCTAGGTTGCTTCTCTCCTTGATTAGTTTCCTTCCCTTGCTTCTTGCCCTGCCCTTAGGCGCTTTGAAGAATAGCTTGACTCCCTCTTCTTTGTGGCAGCCTCTGAGATATTGGAACACTGCTATCATGTCCCCCCTCATCCTTCTCTTCATTAAACTAGACATACCCAATTCCAGCAACTGTTCTTTATATGTTTTAGCCTCCAGTCCCCTAATCATCTTTGTTGCTCTTATCTGTACTCTTTCTAGAATCTCAATATCTTTTTTACATCGTGATGACCAAAACTGGATGCAGTATTCCAAATGTGGCCTTACCAAGGCATTATAAAGTATTAACACTACAGGTGATCTTGTATTCATTCTCATCCCATTAGTATTGATACCATTATGTGTGATACATAATTAGGTAGGTGATGCAGTGTAACACGTAAGCCATTTTAGGTCAGGTATATGTATATCTGCGCACAGGGGATGCATTTGCTCCGGTCTGAAAGAGTTCCACTCACCAGATATGTCCCAAGGCTTCCTGGGCTGTGATTCGTTGGTCCTGATCTACTTCCATTAGTCTTGACACCAACTTTTTAGCTTCAGGAAAATAGAAAAGATAAGATAGGGAATTAGACAATGTTTAGGAGAGTCAGATGATCACTCTTAGGACTAGATTTTTGGATCCATATTGCAGGAAATGAAGAGGAACTGTTCTAAGAAAGTAGAACAGATTAATGCATGGAGAATTGCAATTCTGAATATTCCTGTTTTCAGACAGGAAACTGGAATGGCAAAGAATGTCCTTCCTCGTTGTGCTTTTGCTTTCTTAAAATCGGCAAGCATTTCTCTTTTCATAATGGCATCTCCAGCTTGCAGAGAAGAAGTCTTCAGAGGTATCCCACTTCCTCCTGGCCTGGTGTGGTACATAAGAGCAATTCCATGTCTATGAGAGAGAAGCTAACGAGACTGGATGGTGCTTACCAGCGACGGAGATATCATCCCAATATGGAGAGTCAAATTCATACTCCCCAGCCAGAATTTTGCGGAAGATGCGGCGATTGTGACTGTCAGTATTTTCATCATCTGTGTCATCATAGAACGGGGGGTTCCCAGACAATCTGTGATGGTAAACGAGGGAAGAAGAAGAAGAAAAAGAAGTCACACGTTTTCTTAATGTAGTGTTTATGCTTATAGCCAAATATGCTGGTCAGCTTGTTGTGATTTTTCAACTTATGTTAACTTATCCCAACATGACACTTAGGCTTCATACCCGCGTTCGGCAGTAAAACAAAGGTCTCCAGTCCCTGAATGTTAATTCAAGTCTAAACTAGATTTGGCAGAAGACACAATTTAGCTAGTTTAGAATCTTATTGCAGATAAGAAAGAAACCTGAAACACAACAGTTGGCATCCTATCATACTGCAAGAAAGTCAGAGATTTCTGTGTGGCTATGTTCCAGAATTAAAATACTGAGCTTTTCCCCTAATCCTTCTAAATCAGGGGTGTCAAACTCAATTTCATTGAGGGCCGCATCAGCATTGCGGTTGTCCTTGGGGGGCCGGGCAGGTGTGGCCAGGGTGGGCGTGGCCTATTGGGTGGGTATGGCCAGCTCTACATCGTTTGCGTCAAGGGTACCTGTGGGGCCTGGGCAGAAGTGGGACAGATCTGAGGGTCTCTGGCAGAAGGGGGTGGGACCAGGGCAAGCGCCAAGGCATGGTCCACTGGAAGAGCCTCACTGTTCCTCTCAGGCCATGCGAAGGGGGGCTGGATGGTGCCACAGGCTGCCCGGAGCCCTGGGCAACAGAGGTCAAACACCCAGGCCGGCCCTCAAGCACCCGCGCACCAAGCCCAGCCCCACTACCCCAGAGGGGGCTCCAGCTGCACTTATCTCCTCCTCAAGGCTGCTGCTGCTGTGCTTGCTTTCCTTAGCCAGGTTGCTCATGATGGGTATTAGGGCAAAGTCAGAGGGAGCCCCACTCCCTCTCCATGGGAGGAGACCCAGCTTTGTATCCAAAGCTTCCTTAGCAATAGGATGGGAGACCCCCAGGATAGGCCAGGAGGAGGGGGCAAGGGGATGGTGGAAGGGCAGCTGGGCAGGACTAAGGCAGGACTTCCCTCAGACCCTCCTTCTCTTCCTTCCGTCCTTCCTTCCGTCCTTCCTTCCTTCCTTCCTTCCTTCCTTCCTTCCTTCCTTCCTTCCTTCCTTCCTTCCTAAGAACAGTGATGGGAAATATTTGAGATGAGGGAGGGAGAAAAACAGGCAAGAAACGCAGCTGGGGAGGTGTCACCCTTCGTGAGGAATGAAGAAATGCAGCATCGCCTGGAAGTGGCCAGCACATGGCCCTCGCCTACTTCATATATCTGGCTTGGTGGGCTTTGAGGGAGGGGATGCCGTGAGCAGCGTGAGAGTCAAAGTTACCTGGGCAATGCCATGCAGCCCCCAGCCTGCCTGGTTTCGGCAGGCAGCGAGGCGCTCTCCTCACAGTGCCGAGAGGCGGAGCCAGGCAGCGCGAATCCAAAAAGAAGTGTGACGCCACCCAGCCCCTAGCCTGCCTGATTTCGGCAGGTAGTGGGGCGCTCTCCTCATAGCGCCAAGAGGCTGAGCCGGGCAGTGTGAAGCTCGCCAGCTTTGCACCTTGCTGCCTGCTGAAATCAGCAGGCTGGGGGCTGAGCGGCGGCACACTTCTTTTTGGATTCGCGCCACCTGGCTCAGCCTCTTGGCGCTGTGAGGACAGCGCCCCACTGCCTGCTGAAACCCCTCCCCTGGAGCCCATCAAGCCGGATATGTGAAGTAGGCGAGGGCCATTTGCTGGCCACTTCCAGGCGATGGTGCATTTCTTCATTCCTCACAAAGGGTGACACCTCCCCAGTGCGCGCCCAGGGGGCGGGGCCAATGCGGCAGAGGCAGTCCCTTGCTGTTTCCAGATGGCCTTGTGGAGCTAAAACTTAATGCGTTTCAGCATAGATGGCCACCACAAAATTGTACATTGGCTCCCGGGCGGCCTGGGCTGGGGCCAAGGCAGCGGGGGCCATTCCCTCACTGTTTCCAGGATGGCTTCGCGGGCCACATGAAACCACATCGCGGGCCGCATCCAGCCCCCGGGCCTTGTGTTTGACATGTCTGTTCTAAATGAATATCGGGTGGGGGGGTATGAATGAAATCCTTCCAATCCCTCCAAAGGATACATGGGAAGGGGTTGCTTGGTTGCTGAAGTAGCTGAAAAATGTTTATATAACAGCCCCCTCTAGCCTGGGACCTGCTGGCTCTCACCTCACTCCTTGGATTGATGTGCTCAAATGTGCTCGATTAGGATGGTTATTGTTTTCACCTAGCATAGCTTATCAAGGCTACAGAAATCCTGGTAACCATTAGATGGCAGCAAAGAATTAATGTTTTCCATATCACTTCTATTTAGTAGCTATTTGATATTGTGTAGCTCAGATCTGATAGTCCTAGCAAAGCAACTGCAAAAATATGAACCTGCCCATTCTCTGTACATTCTGATATGCAGGCGCGTTCTCTCTCTCTCTCTCTCTCTCTCTCTCTCTCTCTCTCTCTCCCCTCCCCTCCCCTTCCCCCTCCCTTCCTCCCCCCTCTCTCTGACACACACACACATACACACACACACACACAAATGGAACTCACAGAATAAACATGATAACTCCAACAGCCCAGCAGTCAACAGGACGTCCGTAGCGTTGCCGAGCAACCACTTCAGGAGCTGGGAGGGCAGACAAATGGATCAAAGACAACTATAGAAAATGTGAGCAAGACATATCCCGCGCAGCAAGAGGCAGATGCTAGATTTGCTACTTCACATTTCCCAATAGAACTCTGTCGATGCACAAAGAACAGAAATTTAAGAGGTGAGCTTTTCTGTCTTACGGAGAGAAAAACTCCACTTGTTGAATATTTGCCTGTGCAGTTCTTTTTCAGGACAGTTTGCAAATGTAGCAGGGAGAAAGTATCTCACATCTGGGATATTTCTTCTTTGTCCGAAAGCAAGTACATACCTAAATATTCAGGAGTCCCACATGGTTCTGTGATGGCACCATTCTCAAAGCGTGAGAGATAAAAATCCCGCAGAACCACTTTTGAGCGGTTATTCTGGTTGTAGTACATAAGATTCTCCAGCTAAAAGAAAGAGCCCCAAATTAGCAAACTTCCTTGCATTCTCCTTCACAACGGAGCAAAGGGTGCGTTGCCCCCCATTCATGAAAATGTCTTCCAGTGCTAAAAGGACAGCTATCCCAGGTAAAACCACTAGAGGGGATAGTTGCTCTGAAAATTTTGGCTTTAGCATTCAATGCCGTTTCTTTACCTTTAGATTGCGGTGAACAATGTGCAGATTATGTAAATAAGCTAATGCCTCCAGCACTTGCCGCACAACGTTGCTGGCATCCTTTTCTGTGTAGTAGCCCTGGTCTAGAATCCAGTCAAAAACATCGCCGCCAGTAGCCCTGTAGGGAATACCACAGCCAGCTTGACAAGTGGAATTGAGTAGACCCCAGATGGCCACTTAGTGGCATACAAAGACGTAACAGAAAAGGCTCATCCTTTGCTACCATCTACTGTTCATCTGGACTTCTGCAGCAAAGCTATGGTATGATTAAGTACTAGGCAAAGACGCCGTGCATATCATGCCAGGGTAGAGCCTGACATATGCAGAGTTTCTCTGTTCAGAATGTTAAACAGAAGCAATCTGAAGGCGGGGTGAATCACACTTGGGCTGGGTTATATATTCACTAAGCCAAGGCTTGCTTAACTATCATCTGCTATAGACATATTTGGCTGCATTTATATAAACTATAAAACATGTTTACAAACCACAATACATTGGTTCAGTTTATCCATCGTGCTAAAGTATAGTTTGATTTTAGTTTGGGGCAGGAGTGGCAACTTTCTCCATCCCAAAGATGACTCCTTTGACATGTTAACAGCTGCAGACCAGAAATTTGTGGATGCAGCCAGGGCAAAGAAGTGGGCAGCTGCAATTTAAAAAATGTAAAATTAAATTATTTATATATTCCCTTTCATATGTAGAATTATTCTTTCCTTTTGTGACATTAAAAGGTCTGATTTGGTGATAACATTAGGGGAGGCTGTCTGTTTGCTCTCAAGTCTTCTGAGAGCAGCTTGGGGGTCCTGTGCACCCTTGGTTTGGTGTGTTGAGTAATCCTAGCCTAGGAGTGGAAAGGCTTCAATTCATATCAGCCACAAAACTCTCTGGATTAAACCATCTAATAGAATAGTTGGGTTGAAAAAAATGGGGGTATATGAAAGCTGTCTATGCTATTTTCATTTCCTTGGAAAGTATAAATAAATACAATCAAATAAAGCTGGCATATCAGCCTGGGGGGGGAAAAGAAATAACTTCAGTACATTAATATTAATGTTCTGTATTCTTTTTGCATATCTCATTTATCTATCTATCTAATCTATATCTATCATCACTTCTCAGTCAAACTTACAATTCTTGGATAATGTAGAATTCCTTCCTCGTTTCAAATGTGTCAATCAGTTGTAAGATATTGGGGTGATTCACCCTGGAAGAAAAATGCAGAGAGACCTCAGTTTCCCCTCTTCCCCTTAGCCGAATCATAAATGTTTTCTGCCTGTCATCAACTTGCCTGGCCTGTGATATCCTCCATCTCCTCCCTTGCTGAGATCATCCTTGAGTTGCCTGTTCCCCTACTGGTCTGGCTCTGTTGTTTGCCCCCCCCCCCCCGAGTTCATTTCTACAGAGACCAAGTCAGCAGAAATCTCAACCTGCCCTAGGGCTATCTCAATAATTCATGCCTGGCCTTTAAACAGTAAAGAAACTTAAAACAGTTCTTGTGATGCCAGTAGGTCAGGAAATAAAAGGTGCATTTTTTAAAAAAGCAAACAAACAACACCATTAATTACAATGAATGATGGGGACAGAAAAGGGAATGAATGTTCATTCTTTTTCTGAGGATGTGAACCTCGTTCCTCCTTGTCATTGCTTTACTTTTTTGCTTGCTTACATAACAGCTGTTGACTCTAAAGTACTCAAGATGAATTTAAAGCAAAAAAAAATTAACCTGTTTTTTACTGCTGGAAATACTACCTTTTTAACATTCTGAAAACAAACATAAACACACACACACACACACACACACCTGAGGACATTTATCTTTGGTATCTGATTTGTGATTTTATTGGATTTTTATTTTGCTGTTGCATACTGCCCAATATTTTACAATTGGAGGAGAAAATTAGCATTGTTAAGGAATGGAATCGAATCAAATTGAATTATGAGTTTTGCTATAATTATGCCTCAGCTGTCTCAGCTGAACAGGAACAGGAATATTTCCCAAATAATTTGGCAGTTAATAACCTTGCTATTGTTAGGACTATCATAAAAATGTATTAAACCTGATGGCATTATTTAAGAACAAAAGAAAAAGAAAAACTAACAAGCCTTACAATAAGTCCTAGTATTAAGAGGCCCTGGTGGGCAGCTCTGAAGCCTCTGGGTCCCACTATATGCATAGTAATGGGCATCAAGAGCTGCTAAAGCTGTTTTTGATGAGGATTCATGAGGAACTGGATGTCCTTGAAGGAGCAGGGAAAGCTTTGCAATGGAAGTCAGGGGCCAGACAATAAATTCTGGTTGATGCAATGTCCCCAGAAAAAGGAGAAATTGTGAGATTGCCCACTTGTACTCTGGATCAGGGCTTTTCAACCATTGGTACGGGTACCACCTGTGGTACATTGGCCCCTGGCAGGTGGTACGCGACCATCCTAGAAAAGTGGTAGCGGGGGAGGGGAATGAGCTGAACCGGTGGCAGCACCGCACAAGCCTGAGTGAGAGACGGCTGGAGCTGCAGGGCTGTCAGGGCTCAGCGGAAGCGCCAGGATCAGTGCCGCTTTCCAGCTGATAGGCTCTTCTTCGGGGTTGTCAGGGCTCAGTGGAAGCACCAGGATCAGCACCAGGCTTCAGCTGGAGCTCGGCGCTGATCCTGGTGCTTCTGCTGAGCCCAGAAGAAGCGCCGATCAGCTGGAATGTTGCAGCCTCTCCAGGGTCTTGTGATTTACATTCAGATGCTTGGCAACCGATTCATATTTATTACAGTCACAGTGTCCCAGGGTCATGTGAAGTGACCAAAACCGGCTGCAACCACCCAGCAGACGGGGGGAATAAAAACCAAACACCCCCCCACCCCACCCCCGCTGCCAATCCTCAACAGAAATGCTCACAACAATGAAAACCTCGGACAGGAGGAAGAGCGCCGCTGGGTGGGCGGGCAGGTGTCTTGCTCGGCTGTGGCTTGGGGGGCACTTTTTTCAGTGTCATTGTAACTTCAAACAGTCACTAAGCGAACTGTTGTAAGTCGAGGACTACCTGTACTTTATCACTTTTTTCCTTTTTTGGAGGGGTCATCAAGTTTTGACACCTTGCTAGGCGACTGGTGGTACTTGGATGTTGCCATATCCTAAAAGTGGTACCATGGGTGAAAAGGTTGAAAAGCCCTGCTCTGGATAGTTGCTCCTCATAAGTAGACTGCAAGAATGCAGGTATTTACATTCAACTTGTGAGTTGAGCAACTGGGAATTAAAGGATTTCAATGAAGCTCGTATGCATAATACAGTCTATATGGACCTAAGGTTTGTACAACTCCATTTCTTAAACATTTTCAAATGTAACTAATTTACTACCAAAGAGACATTTTATGTCTGTCTGTCTGTCTTATCAAATTTATTTTCCGCCCATTTCATGGTTAGGCAACAGAGATTTTCTAAGTAGTAGGATAAAAAATTCCACTTAATGAGTCAACATTCTTTCTGAATTACCAAGGAAAAAAAGGTTTTAAAAATTTATTTATTTTTTAACAAAAAGCTTACTAAGAAATAGATGTAGGGAAGTTTAAAACAGGTAAAGAGAATAGTTATTTTGATTTGTGTCTGTGTGTGAACCTGTCTTTGAAATTATTGGAATTAAAATAGACAAATGATTTGGATCCTTGTTGGAAAAATGTATAATAACATGTTTGCATAAATGTGCACTCCTCTTATAATTAGGGATGCGACTATGTTTAGAATTAACCAATCACATTCACTGGTGTTAAGTAGTAGTCAATACATACCTGGCATCAATTAAAGTTTAACTCTGATCAACCCCATATAAAGTTTGGCTGTTCTAGTAGGATTTTTGGAACATTTACTCCGTTGCCTCTTACAGCAAAAGCTATGGTCTCTGCAAAGACCTTACAAAGCATCAAAGTGATCTCATTGTTGGAAGATATCAGTCAGGAGAAGGGTACAATTTTTTCCCCCAAAGCATTGGATATACCATGGAACACAGTGAAGACAGTCTTCAACAAGTGGAGGAAATATGGCACAACAGTGACATTACCAAAAACTGGATGTCCTTCCAAAATTGATGAAAAAAACAAGAGGAAAACTGGTCTGAGAGGCTGCCAAGAAGCCAACATCAACATTAAACGAGCTGCAAGAATTTCTGGCAAGTATTGGTGGTGTACTACATGTGACAACAATCTCCCATATTTCTCATATGTCTGGGCTGTGGGATAGAGTAGTAAGATGAAGCCTTTTCTTCAAAAAAATAAAATAAAAATGCAAAAACATACATCAAGTCTGACAAAAGCATGTGGGAAAATGTGTTATGGTCTAATGCAGGGGCCTTCAAACTTTCAAATTCCTGGCTGAGGAATTTTGGGAGTTGAAGTCCACAAGTCATAAAAGGGCCAAGTTTGAAGACCCCTGGTCTAATAAGTCCAAAACTGATTTTTTTGGCCATAATGCAAAAACACTATGGATGACCAAAAGTACACCATACCCACAATGAAGCCTAGTGGTGGCAGCATTATGCTTTGTGGCTGCTTTTCTTCAACTGGAACTGGGGCTTTAGTCAAGATGGGGGGAATTATGAACAGTTCTAAATATGTCAATTTTGGCACAAAACCTTCAGGCCTTTGCTAAAACACTGAACACGAAGAGGAATTTCACCTTTCAACACAACAACAACCCAAAGCATACCTCCAGAACAATAAAATAATGGCTTCATCAGAAGAAGATCGAAGTTTTGAAGTGGCCTGGCCAGAGCCCAGACCCAATTGAAAAATCTGTGGGGTGACCTGAAGAGGGTTGTGCACAGGAGATACCCTCACCATCTGACAGATTTAAAGTGCTTTTGTCAGGAAGAGTGGGCAAAGATTCCCAGGGCAAGATATGCCATGCTGATGGGCTCCTACCACCAAAAACTGAATGCTGTCATAAAATCAAAAGGTGCTTCAAGAAAATATTAGTTTAAGGGTATGCACACTTATGCAACCATGTTATTGTATGTTTTTTATTGTTATTTCCCCCCTAAAATATTTCAGTTTGTTTCTCTATTGAATTATAGAGTTTATACTGTATGTTATATTAAAGGTGGGAAAAATTCTGAAGTGATTTATTATGGTCTGATTTTTCTACATCTCAAAACCTGGCATTTTAATGGGTGTGTAGCCTTTTTGTATCCTCTCTCTCTCTATTTTTTAAAAAAACAAACCCCTTCTTGCCGCTGTGGGTGTTATGTGTCCTCCCTCAATCTCAGGTCCTCTAACAAAGACCTGGGAGGTTGTGAGCTCTGCAGAGTATCTTAACTGGTCTAGCACTGCACTCTTCTGTGGCAGAGAGATCTGATATTGTTTCTGGGGTCTATTGGAGCCAACTCTTCTAACTTAGAAGTCACAACCCTGTGTGTCCCTGCCACCACTTTGACCTTTACTTTCCACATCCTCTCTAGTTCCTCCTTCAGGCCCTGGTACTTCTCCAATTCTCATACTCCTTCCTGATGTCTACGAAGATTCTCAATCATGGTTGTCTCAAAGGTGATTTCCCCCCCCCCCAAAAAAAAAGGCAACTGGATTTCCTTAGTTTTTTTCCTACGAAAAGATGAGAAGTAAAACGTTTTCAAGGGGGGAAAAAACCCCAAGCAAGTCCACTTGCCTTTTTGGGGGGGGAAAGCACCTTTGGGACTCCTCCTTGAAGTTTCTGTCACTTGGCATTTATCACAACTGCTGTCTTCTGTCGTCTACTACAATGATGTGTAGGTTGACTGGCCAGTGCCTGCCTGCCTGTCTGCTTGAATCTGGAAATCACACATGATCCAAGTTCTGTTATTCTCCATGACCTATGGAACCTCCCATCTGGGCTTGGGAGGGTTTAGCCCATACACTGTGCAGATGTTCCTGTATACAATGCCAGCTATTTGGTTGTGCTGTTCAGTGTGTACTGTTCCTGCAAATGTGTGTTGGATTGAAGTCTCTCTGCACAGTCTGCACCTTGGGTACTGTCTAGTGGGGTAGAACCCTGCTTCTAGGTATCTGTTGGTTGCAGGGAAACATACATACTGGGAAACCAGGAGTTTTCATTGTTACTTTACTGCTGCAAATATATATATATATATATATCGAGCTTTGATTGGCAGGGAGCCCTCTCCCCCCTCCTCTTGGGTAATTTTCTCCAGATCTTGAGCCTAGTTCTTTTCATCATTTTGATAGCCAGAGACTTGCTATAGTGGTCCCAGGATAGAGCTGAATCTGGCTCAGTGACTATCTAGAACAGGGGTCTTCAAACTTGGCCCTTTTATGACTTGTGGACTTGTGGCAAGCTGGCTGAGGAATTCTGGGAGTTGAAGTCCACAAGTCATAAAAGGGCCAAGTTTGAAGACCCCTGATCTAGAAGATTCCCTTGGAACCACATTTACATCAGTTTGGTGCAGTGGACAAAAAGTGGGATTTAAATGAGTAAACATACACAGTAGTCCTTTGTCCTATGTCACTAAATCATCTGAAAAGAGAAGCCATTCTGCTCTCCCCTACGTGCCAGCGTTGACCCACTTTCCGGTGGGAAAGATCAGCATTGCAATGTTTCCAATTAAGTCTGGTAACGGATGCTTTAGCAGTTATCCCGAGCCAGCTAATCAGAGGATTCTCATCCAACCCTGCCTGATCTAAAGTTTGGCTATCTTGCACAGCTCTTATTTGATCGTATGTTTATCATATTTTCTCCATAGATGCAGTTTCCATTAAGAGAATATTTTTCCACTCTTCAAAAATAGTGAGGAGGAAAGCTGTAGTGAGCAATTTCCTATCTAGTGATACAGTTGTTAAAGGGCACAGAAGCCTTGCCAGGAAAACAAAGAAGCAGATGGCTCCTTAATACCTCAGCATGTTTGCTGCTGTCTGTTGTTTTAATTTCCCCCAATATTTTGGTCTCTCTGTTCCCTCTCTCATTATTCCGGCGCGCTCAAGTACCTTCCCTGTACATCTGTCGTCATAATTGAACATATATGCTACAACTTAGCTAGAGTGACCATTAACTCATTATAGACACTCTTCAGTTTAGCCATCACTGAGGATGCAGAAATCTGGACAACCCCTAGATCAGCTGTTCTCAACCTATGGGTCGCGACCCCATTTGGGGTCGATCGACCATTTCACGGGGGTCGCCAAGCAAGGCTGTCCGCCATTTTTTTCCCCTTTTCCGGCGGGTGCCTTACCTCCCTTGGGCTGGGCCAGCTGGTGGTCGGCCTGCTCCGTCTCTGCCGCTTGCCAGCTACGCCTCAGCCGGCGCAGGGGGCGGAACCATGCATGCGCGGCACTCCCGGGCAGGGAAAGTCCTCGACTTACGACCGGTTGGGTAGTCCTCGACTTACGACCGGTTTAGTCCTCGACTTACGACCGGTATAGTCCTCGACTTACGGCCGGTTGGGGGTTGCGGCATTAAAAAGGTTGAGAACTACTGCCCTTGATGACAGCAAAGAGTGGCCATCTAGTGGCCATTTGGATATATGCAACCCAGATGTGCTAGGACAGTATATCTAATTCAGTTGGCAGTTGCTACAAAAAAGGAGTATCTTTATTTACAGTGATACAGATGGTGGCTCATACTGAAATTCCTTTTGCTACTCAAGGAGGCAGAAGGACAATGTCAATTCTTGTACATGCGTGCGCACACATATACACATCAGGAACCTACATTTTTAGGATGAAGATTTCATTCTTGGCTGCTCTTCGCACTTTGCGCCCATCTTTCTTGAGAAATTTCTTGCAGATGTACAGCCTCTCTGTTTGTCGTTCGCGGGCCACACAGATCTCACAGAATTCCTTCCTGTGGAATAGGGATCAGAAAGAACCCCGTTTTTTTTTTAATGTCTAGGTTGATGTTCTTGATGTTCTGTTTTCTATAGTTACCAGCCAAATATCGTTAGATGGTATATAGCCAAAATGGAAAGAGATGCCCAATGCCTGTTAAAACTGTTTTAGTTATCAGAATTAATAGACAGTGACAGAACTATATTTTACATGCTTTCTCTGGTCAGGATCAAAAAAAGCAAAACAGACTAGAGAGATTTTAAGGCCCAATATGGTCCCCATTTTTCAGCCTCACCTACCTCATGTGCTTATTGTAGGAATAAAATGTATGTGTCAAAGAGACAGAAGAGCTTATACAGTGTTTTACCTCCTTGGAGTGAAGAAAAGAGAGAATATAAATAGAGTTAATAGGTAAAGGCAAAACACCAGGGCAGACCTGAAATATCCAGAATTCCTTTGTGTATTTGGGGTAAGATAAAAGTCATTAAGATTATTTTATTTCCAAGTTTGATTTACATTTTGGGAAGCCCTACATAAACAACTTTTTAGGCCATAGAATAAATTTCTTCAGCAAGGACATACCACAGAATTACCTGTAAAGAAAAGTGGACTGCCTCATTTACAGCCTTATCACTGGCATTTATCTAATTGCTGACTGGAGTAAGAAGTTCAGATTTTAACTCTTCTTTGGGCTGAGTTTAACAGAGGTTGAGTGACATCAAGGAAATCTAGCACAGAGTGGGATTCTTGCTTATGCCCTTAAATCTGTAGGACATCTTATATGGGAAATATTGGACTGCAGTAGTAATTTTTAGCTATAAGTAGTTCTTGACTTATGGCCATAATGGAGCCCAGAATTGTCACACAAAGCAGTTAAAATCCGTCTAACAGGCACATGACTAGAACTACTACACGACCAATGATACAAACTGTACAAAAATGCCACAGGGGCCCCACCAGTTAATAACAGCCATATTAACTGGAAACCAAACCAGATCTTAAGGGCTTCCTGGAATACCAGGAGAGTGAGTGCCATCTATAGCTCTGGGTGCATGTTAATCTAGAGCAGGGGTCTTCAAACTTGGCCCTTTTATGACTTGTGGACTTCAACTCCCATAATTCCTCAGCCAGGAATGCTGGCTGAGGAATTCTGGGAGTTGAAGTCCACAAGTCATAAAAGAGCCAAGTTTGAAGACCCCTGTTCTAGAGGGTGTGGGTCACAGTAGAGAACATAGAGCAGGAGTGTCAAACTGCCGGCCCACAGGCCGGTTTCATCATACCGAAGCCATGCCCACCCCATTGCCAGCAATGCAAAAAGAGTTCGTGATACGTCACGGCACATCACATGATGTGGCGAGTTTGACACCCATGACATAGAGGAATTGTTCTGTTAGAATAGTTTTCTAATCCTTTTAACTCTTCTATTATTAACATAATTATTAGTTTTGATGGTCTGGTATTAGCAATACTGTTGTATGTATTGATACTGTCTCTCTATTCATCACAGAGCGTTGTAATCTTTGTGTTGAAAAAGTTTGAAATTGAGTTGTGTTATATTATAAATACCATATGGACTAGATTGTCTATTTGGCAGTCAGAGTGGGAAGCCATCTACTACCGGTAGCTATTGCTCATCCCGCTCAGCAGCCAGTAATGCAGCTGCAATCAGATAAGCTATTTCACAGCACCTATGTTGCTGTTCCTTCCTCCTGCTGCTTGCAGCAAATTAGCTGGCCAGGTACAGGCTGAGATGAATCTCCGTATCCACTGAGCATCATGGACTGCATTTCAGGAACCCCAGCACAAAGAGCAAGACAAGCAGAGAGAGAGGGGCTATTAATCCACAGTGAAAAGAAGATCATAGATCCACAGCCAGGAGGTATAAACTCAGAACCTTGAACGTACCTGGTAACAGCAGAGAAAGTAGCGTACCTGTTCTGCAATTTGAAATTCATATGCCTATTTTATAATAGGCTGACTATGAGAAGATGCCACAGTGTATTGGATGTGGCAGTGTTACTGCAGGGTATCTCCTAATAGGTGGAGAAGAAAGGAAGAGGCTTCCTTCATGATGCATCTCTCAAATTATTAGGACGCTGGTTGCAAATCCATTGCATTCTAAGGTGGCCCTCAGGACTCCAGCAAACTGGGAGTAGTTTCAGGCAAGGTCCCTACTTACGCTCGTAGCAGCTGTCCAATCTCATACTTGTCGGTGATGTCAGAAAGGCTGTTGTAATTCTTTTCATCCCGCAGTCCGATGCAGCCAAACGGCATCCTGGAGGGAAATATAAAGACTGACTATAAGTTTTGGTGTAACTTCTCTGAGCCTGTTTATCCTGTGTTCCCTACAGGTTGTAAGTCAGAGATGGAGATTGGCTTTTGCTGTAGAACCTTAAGCAGCCAGCTTTAAAAGGAAATACTCAAGCCAGCAGTAGCCATGCAGCTTTTAGTACAGCCTTGATTGCTAGATTTCAAGCACAAGTCAGAAGGATCGGCATGTTTTGTTCTGAACCAACAGTTTCATTTTTCTCTTGCAGAATACCTCCCAACTTTTATAATCAAATCCCCTATTTCTATCCTGTCATGGAAGCTTCATGTGTACTCCAAACTAGCTCTTAATCGGAGGCATTGTCCTTCAGTGGAGAGAGGGGATCAGGCTATGCCATACTTTGAAGTGTCTGTGCATTTATGAATTTATGACGCCTTTTTTCTGTCAGAATTCCCTTCATGCTTCATTAGCATGACCTTCCTACTTCACACAGTGGGAAAATGAGGCTGAGGCTAAAGCCATAAGTTCTGCCTCTCTCTCCACTCACAGGAGAACACACTTTCAACATGTGCTCCAATTCTCTAGAAGTCCTCCATTTTTCCTATGGCCAAAGAGCCAGTAAAGGATCTTAGGTCACATCATCAAGGAGGAAAGCATGATAGTGTGTTTACTTCTTTATTAAATTTTTATGCTCTCCATCTCTCCTATAAGGTGGAATCTATATGATGACCCGAGGTCACATTGATTTCATGAGTAGAAAACTTTTCATCTCCAAGTTTACTGAGCATCTCAGTTTACAGAAGGCCAAGTGCATTGAAATTTTTGTTTCAGAGGTTAAAATGTAATTAATTAAATAAAATGATGACTGATGTGTCCCAATGATTTTAATGGGATTTAAGCATTTTTCCCCAACCTACTGGCCTCCGGATACGTTGGACAACAAAGTTCATAATCTTTCTTTGGTATTCTGTTGTGGCTCCATTTGCATCCATATGAACAATTGTTAATGATTGCTGATTACTAGAGGCTTCTGATATTTTTGCAAATGAAATTCTACATATACAAACAGTCCTCCTTTTGTAACAGAATGAGTTCCCAAAAGGGGAAGAAGAAAACTTTGCAATGTTTGAAAGTTTAAAGTAAGTATAATGATACAGCTTTTTAGACAATATTCTATTTTGATTCATAATGTCACAGGCTATCTTTGCAGTTTTTCACCTCCTTCATAATCTTGTCAGGCAGTTCCAAAAACTCCAACTGATTTTAAGACTTGGCATATAAATATGTGTGCATTACGTCACATCAAAGTCCAAATCTATTTTAGGGTTAACAGTAGGCTATAGTATCATCTAGCTATCATGATGTTGCTTCCTTTTATTTACTGACTGCAGTTATGTTTGATCTGTCTCCAAAGATCTCAAGTGGCATTCAGGGTCTGTATGTAGGGGATAACAAACTGCAACTAGCTCAGGAACCTAGTCATTTAGAATGGTAAAATTGGTCACTAGTTCTTATTCCTAAATTTTGCTCCAAATTATCACACATTATAGCACTTGGTGCAGATGGAATGCTTCTGATGGAAATATGCATCTTGAGAGGTAAAGTAATTCTAATACGTTTTTCTTGGTCAAGTAGAGCCCTTGGTGTGATGTGTATCATGTTCCAAAGTAAATGGTAACTATTAGTCCTTTAAGAAAACCAGGTCAGACATAGCAGGAACATCTGTTCTGCTGTTTCATATTTGTTTTTTATCCTTTGCAGTTTTGAAGGGCTATCTTATCGGAAAAGAGGGGGATGTGGGAAGCATTAGACATTCCCTGTGCCTGTGTAATGTCTGTACATGAGCTTTCTGTTGTTTGTCAACTGATTACTGGGATTCTTTCCCTGGAAAAAGAAGAAAATGGATGATGTATGACTAGCTCTGATTTGCACTGGCATGACCTAATGCAGGGGTAGGCAACCTTGGCTCTTTTATGATTCTGGCTCAGGAATTCTGGGAGTTGAAGTCCACGAGTCATAAAAGAGCCAAGGTTGCCTACCCCTGACCTAGCAGTTACAATGTTGGGATGGACTAGAGCAGGGGTCCTCAACCCCCGGTCCATGGATCGGTACCAGTCCGTGGCCCATTGGGAACTGGGTCGCATAAGTGGTGGGCAAGTGTGCAAAGCTCCATTTGTGCAAGGGCTGGGCATGTGCGCAAAACCATCCCCTTGCCACTGCCACTGCCAGTCCACACGGCCAGAAAGGTTGGTGGCCACCAGACTAGAGAGCCTCAAGGCTTTCCTCTTCCACTGGGTAACTTTGGGTCAGTCATTTCCTTTCGGCCAATTCATTTCAAATTGGTGTTTTTTCAGGGGAAAAGAAAAGGCAGGATATGAAGATGTTATGTATCTGGTAATTGGGAGGCGGGGGAGGGGTGTGTTGGCTGCTTAACTGTAACCATGGTTAACTGTTAATTGCCATATATTTATGGAAGTTAAGCACGTGTCAGTTTATCCTGCAAATGTAGTCTCTGTTAGGTAAAGATCTGAGAACTACTATAGAAACCAGCTTAAAATTTGTTCATGTGAAATCTGCTGTAATAGTGCTAGTAGGACATTTTCCTCAGTATCAAGAGGATCTGTGGCACCCATGTGAAATTTCCAATGCCTTTTCCCTCAAAGGATGGTCAAACTGCCCATTCTCACAATCCAGCTCCACAATGCATTCTAAAAGCACCCCAAGGGGTATCATTAGACACAGATGCTCCTTCTTGTTCAAACAGAGCAATAGCAGACTTGATCTTCCTTGCACAAAGAAACATTGAGAGCTGGGGCCATATTCATGCAGCCAATTCTGGGTGAGTCATCGTCATGAATCTCAGCAACAAATCCATAGATTTCTGGCTCCATGTTTAAAGAGCTGAAGATAATATCTGGAGGCAGCTGCATGGAGCCCAGAAGTAAAATATTGCAATTTTCTTTTATGGATGGTTTGGATTTGAATTTTCACTCAATTTCTGTCTCTTTGGTCTTTATTCCTTTCTGACTTTTTAAATCTATCCTTTTGACAAGCAACTTGCTAAATATCTTAACCAGTGCTTTATATTCATTGGTGCAAAAAAAAAAAAAAGTTGCAAAATGCAGAAACTTGGAATTAGGAAGATTTTTTAGTAGGTTTTTTTTAGAAGCTGGTGGATACTGGGCATGTAGACCTCTGGAGGTTTTGCTCCATTTTCTTAAATATGCAACCTGGAAGGAGAGAAATTATTAAGTTTAATGTCACTCACTTCTGAGCAGTTCCTGTGGTTGAAGTGCTTGAAATTATCAAAATCTGTATGTTTTCTTGAGATAAAATCTATTATATACAGTAGAATTAACAGCTGCCTATTAGATAGAATCCAGTGGCTTAAATCCATCACTGAGGGAGGGAAAGGGGCTGAATAGAAAATCCATTCTATGAGAATCTTCACTGCCAATGTTAGACTTTGCCCACTGTGGATTAGTCTCCAAGGTCCTATCCATTGGCTGAATGGCTATAGTGTCATGGAATGTTTAAAAGCATTTTAACTGAAGAGGGAAAAACAATTAGCAACTGCATGCTCACAAATACTCACATTTCTAAGTGGAAAGTAAAATGGTAATGTGTACCCAGCAAAAACATCATGAAGAAGAAAGAAAGAAAGAACTGCATGCAGAAAGACAGAGAGTTCAGATGATAAATAAGAAAAGAGCACCTCGAATAAGGAAGCTAAGATACAGGAACCCAAAGGACAGGTAATGCAGTAAAAAGAAGAACTAGAATAGGCAGTGATGGAGAAAGAAACTCGTGGGGAAGACTTGCCCCCCCCCCAAAAAAAAGGCCTGAGGACAAGATGCTGAGGAAAACAATCAATAATCTTAATTTCACATATCTTTAATCAGTTCTTAAGCCACAGTGCCTGGGTTCATAGTGATGGTAATGATAACAAACCAAACCTAAGCAAACCACATTAGAGCTGAGCGTGATATATGACCCCTGCAAATAAGAAAGAGGATAGGAAGATGAATTACAAAATTAAGGAGAATAAAACCAAGAGTACAGCATAGAGAAGATGGTTGAGGGTCTGGAAACTAAATGACAGAAACAAGCCGAATGGAAAAAGGATGGCAATTAGGAAGCATGTTGGGTTGCAAAATTTGCAAGGATTCGGGGGGGGGGGGAAGGATCAAGAAAAACAAATTGATTGGGCAGAGAAAGGGCAGAGTGCCACAAGATGGCATTAATGTCATATTTGGTCACTCCCTGCTCAAGATATTAACTTGGGTATATCTGATATAGTAGTAAGTGGCTCATAACATCAGCCCTATTAAAATCAATCCAGAAGACCACAAAATGGTAGGGAAATGCCAAGCATTTCAAATACTAAAAATGGCATGAGAATTATGCACCCAAGTCTCTCCTAATTCTCCATCTTCTGGAAGGTGATTGCTAATGACGAAATGACATGGGCCTCCCTCGGGATGGCATTCCAGAGCCTAAGTGCGCTCACTGAACAGGCTGATGGGAATGAGTCTGTGTTGTCTGCATCTCAAACTGAAGTACAGTGAAGGGATGCAGGGCAGAAAACATTCTGCAGCCAAGAAGGCTCCACACACATTTGCACCACTCAGGTGACCCCAAGGACACAGATAAACCTCCAAGTGGCCTCAACGACTCTCTAAAAGAATGCAAATGACCAGCTGTCTGCAAAGAATATAAACCCTTCCATTCCCCACCATCCAGTCAGAGCTGAAGAGAAGGACGAGGGGGGACATGATAGCAGTGTTCCAATATCTCAGGGGCTGCCACAAAGAAGAGGGAGTCAAGCTATTCTCCAAGGTGCCTGAAGGCAGGACAAGAAGCAACGGATGGAAACTGATCAAGGAGAGAAGCAACCTAGAACTAAGGAGAAACTTCCTGACAGTTAGAACAATTAACCAGTGGAACAACCTGCCTCCAGAAGCGGTGAATGCTCCAACACTGGAAGTTTTTAAGAAGAAACTGGACAGC